TTGTCCCTCGCCTTTTCATATCTATCTATCTATCTATCTATCTATCTATCTATCTATTTCTGTTTTTTCATTATCTATCTATCTATCTATCTCAGTCTTTTCATTATCTATCTATCTATCTATCTATCTATCTATCTCAGTCTTTTCATTATCTATCTATCTATCTATCTATCTATTTCTGTTTTTTTTTCATTATCTATCTCGGTCATTTTTATCTATCTATCTATCTATCTATCTATTTCTGTTTTTTCATTATCTATCTATCTCGGTCTTTTTAATCTATCTATCTATCTATCTATCTATCTATCTATCACATTTTTTTTCATTATCTATCTATCTATCTATCATTTATCTAAACGTCTTTTCATTATCTATTTATCAGATATTCTATCTTTCTATTGAGATTAAATTAAATAGTAGTGGTATGTCATTAGATATGGGGAATTAAAAAACTAAGTTTTTTAAACGAAATCTGTCTTATTGTCAAACATAATGGCAGATCTTTTTCGAATGATCTATCTATCTATCTATCTATCTATCTATCTATGTCTGTCTTTTCACTATCTATCTGTTTATCTATGGAAGAGGATGACTAAAAACATTTTCACGATTGGGATTCATGGTGACAGAATCGTGCAATGTGTTTTCCGGTTCTCTTCGATCCGTGGATGTTGAGGTTACCTCTTCCCTCCTCGCATTTGGCAGGTTTTACATTTAAGCATAGCTGGTTTGAATTAAAATTTTAAAATCCAACCAATGCTGTAGGAAAATAGATATGTTGGTATTTTTATCTAGCTGGAATTGATTTAATTTAAGTGTAACATACCTACAGACGATAAATACAGTAGTAAATACTGTATGTTGGTCTGCAGTTGGAGATTCGTCTCCAGCTGTGCTGGTCAAACTCTCTGTCACCGGGGCAGAGAGGATCCCCTGACGAGGCTATATGTCGGCCAGAGTAGAGTGAAGGGAAAACAGCTACCTGACCATGTTTTATACGGGTCCATGGCGAAATTTTCCGAGCCGAGGGCTCGGATACCCACATTAAATTCAGCCTTGAGCCACATCTGACCAGGTGAGGCGGTTGGTAGATATCCTGCAGTTCGAGATTTGTCTCTGAGTTTTCTGGTCAAACTCACTGCCTGGGGCAGAGAGGATCCTGACGAGGCTATGTCGATGGACAGAGTTTCGTCTCGGAAACAGTTACTTGATTTAATTTTTATACGGGTTCCATGGCAATTTTTGTTTGATTATTGGGTTCAGTAACAAATTAAAGGTTGTTTTGTACCAATGTTAGTTAAATAATTTTGTTTTGATTTTTAAAATGTTCATGCAAAATATTCATAGATTGGGAAATTTATATATTTTTTAATTTAAATATTTGATAGCTGACCACCATTTTATATTTTGGAGACAAAAAAAAAAATGATCGTAATGCCCAATTTACTACAATGAACAGTGGTAGAGAAAAAATTAACTTAATGCTCAGCTAACTGGTTGAACATGTTGAGTAAAGACTTGTAACTATTTTTATTTTACTGTGAAAATTGAAAACATTTTTTTGAATTTTAGTAAACAAAGCCCAGGCAGAATGAACGCAGGACTGAAAGGGTTAAAAAAGGTGATAATTGAAAAAAATCCATGGCATAAGTTAACATTTTGGCAAGAGTCAATAGTTGCACTATCACGAACTTCCCGTCGGAATAAGTTATTTTCTCTTTCAATAAGTGTGGCATTAAAAGTTGCTACATTTTTTTTTTATATTTATTTCTTATTTGTTTATATTTATTTATTTTTTAAAGTATTATTTAATATTTATTTCAATTTGATAAATCAAATTTTATATTTACTTATTATTAAAAAATGAAACACTAAATTTTTTTTTGAATTTTTTTAAATTTTAATGGTCACATATGTTGGCACTGGAAAAGAATTTTTCGTTTAAGAAAGGAGACATTTCGAAAACTCCTGAACATACGTTAACTTTTTGTCAAGACTTAGTAGTTACAAGTGTTTGCAAACCGTTCAAATGGTCTGAAAGATTAATTACGTCATTTTTTCTAACACCGGTAAAATGAAAGTTTTTTCAAAATCAATGGATTAAAGGAAATACTGATCAATTTCACAGCCGGTATACGTGAATATATTGATTTTAAAGAATCAAAACAAAAATATAATATAATACCTTCCATTTTTTTAAAAAATTATTAAAAAATTCAAATTAAATTTATCAAATTGGAAGAACTGTCTGACATATTTTGAGATGATATAATAGTACACTACGAAAAGTTTCCATTTTTATTGTCCTCATCTTTGTGTTTTTTTTTATATACAAATGTTTTTGGTTTTTTAGTATCTGTTATATTTTTGAGATGAGGTGATTACATGTAAAATATTTAAATTATTCGGACTATTTAATATTTATTTCGTGAAATTCGCAATATTTATTAAATGTTATAAATTTTAGTATCTGAATAAATTGAGATGAGATATTTTGAACACTATTTCCATTATTCGAATTATTGTCTTCAACTAATCGCCATATTTATTACAACGTTTTTTGTTTATTCAAAAATGGTCTTGATTTAGAAAATAGATAAATGTTGAACAAAAATATTTATTAAAATAAAATGTTGAAATTAAAATTGTTTTTTTTTCCACGTGAAAAACAAAAAAAATTTCAGTTACATTTTTTTCCGAATTTGAATTTTTTTTTTTCTCAGTTATCCAATTAACCTTAAAAAATAAAAACTCACAACTCTTCAATTCCTGTCAATGTGAAAAAACCAGGATCTTTATCCACTAATTTTTGAAATGTTGATTTAAATTAATATGGCACAAAAAACAATTAAAAATTTTTACCCCATTGACGAAATATTGGGTTCAGTTGACATTCCAATTTGAAAAGGCCGGTTCAACAATTGGCAAGAATATCAAATTATATAATATTGGGAATAAAGATAGGACAATAGTCTGAATAATTTAAATAGAATGGAAAAATAACAATTACAAAGCGTTCCAGGATCGACCATGAACCAATTGACGAAAAGATCGCAATTTCAAATGAAACGTTTTGATGACAACAACAATAACAACAAAAACTAGGATAATCATGAATGGTTGTGAACTATAAATAGCAAAATTAAAAATTAGAAGGAATACCCCCCAATAAGTCCTTAAAGAAAAAGCAGCTCTTAAAAGAAAATATAATGTTCCTTTTAAAAATATTTTTTTTTTTTTATTTTTTGGAAAAAAAACTTTTGCTCCGTCCAGCGATTCCGGTAAATCAAAAATGGAAATAAATTTACTGCAAATGAAAATGGGCCGCAGGGTTGGAAAAAAAACAAATAATTAATTTGAATTTAAAACGAGGGCGAAATAAAATTTCACTTCCGGAAATTTTGCTATTTATATATTCAAAGGAATGCTATAAGAAAGAGAATACAACTTTTACAGAACCTTATATGGATTCGTAAGAATCAGAACAAAGCACAGAAAACTTTACTGAAGATATTTTTTTGCGATATTCACGGTATTTTCTAATTAGATTTATCCTTGTCTTTTATAAATTTCCCCAGAAGCCTATTTAAAAATATATAATATATATATATATATATATAAAATAAATTATGACAACGATATATATATTGGGAAAGAGATATATGGTTCAGTTTGATAAATTTGCTAAAATTTATTTAGCATTTGAAATGGAATATCTCAACCCGAACAAATCGACCAATTTTATCTTTAGAAACTGCCGTCTATTATTTTACAAAAGGTCAGAGAGAGAAGTATAAATAGCTAGATACCATTTTATATGCAGATAACGGTATAAAGGAAAACCTGGATTCGACGGAGACAAGGAGGACGTTGATTAATTATGGGGATGAGAATTTATTCATTTTTAAACGTATCATAATTTTACAACAGGATTTCCTCGACAAAAGACCATTAAAGAAATTTGACTGAAACTTACTAGGTGGAATTTGCGACACCATTTTCTTTTCACAGACTCGTCATTCTTGAATTATATATATATATATATTGGGAAATCATGGTCCAATTTCAAACTTCAGTTGGATTATTAATTTTTTGGGACTTCCTTTCGAACGTCGCTCTCACGAGATCAGAAATAAAGAAGTTCGTTGTCTGTATGAATTTATAAATGAAGATCCTTAAAAGTTCTTTTTTTCCGTCCTTTTTTTTTTTTTTTTTTTTTTTTAAATTTTTTTTTGCCCAAAAGTATGAAAAGAAAAAAAAATAAAAAATGTTTGAGAGGGTGAGAAAAATTGCTAAAAGAAAACTGAATAATTTCGGAAAGATTATCCAAAATTTTGATCCCGATGGACAGCGGTTCATTCGAAAATTGAAAAAAAAAATTAAAATTAAAAATACAACAAAAGATTATATTAGTTATTCTTCAGTTGAATTTTAGAAATATGTCATTTGAAGGTTTTAGACATTATCATTGACATGACTTGACTCTCTAAATACATTGAAAAAGATATTGTTGAAACTTGACTAATGCATGGAATAATAATGCAACACAAAAGGTACTTAGAACAAAATGTATTGAAACAAGAAAGTGTACACAATATTTACATATAGTCTTTTGTATATTCCTGGTAAGACCGTTCCTGTAGAATGTGTTGACTGAGTCGCAGTCGGGCAGAGTCTCTGGTTGAATCTCTTGATTCCTCCACCTCACTTCCCGGTACCAACCATATTTATATGGTCGGTACTCCACTATGCAAATTAGGTGGATCCTACCACAACAGATATCATAATTGAGATGCATTGAAAATTATTTAAGCTTCATTTATGGCTTTTGCAATGTTATTTCCTTATATATATATATATATATATATATATATATATATATATATATATATCAAATATGTGGTACAGTCAATTTACATTACATGAATCATTTTTCAAAATAGAAGTTAATGATCTAAATCTTATTTGAAAACAAATTTTAAGATTTATCATTAATAAAAAACTGAAGTAGATGAAATGATTTAATGATATTTGTTTATCAAAATACCAGCTATATAACTAAAAAAGACCTTATGCAACTGAAATTTATCAGGGATCATGAAATACAAATCTGAAGGTTTAAATTACAATTTTTTTTCTTATTAAATTTTCGAAAAAAGAATTATTATTCGCCATTTAAATCATTAACTTATATATCTGTTTTTTGTATGAATGGTTTAATGTATATATATATATATATATATATATATATATATATATATATATATATATATTAAAATATATATATTTATATATATATATGTCATATATTAAAATGATGATATAAATAATAATGTTACATCTGATTGTCATTTTTGGAATTTCATGCTTTATATATTCTAATAGGGGCCAATTAATTAATATATGAAATAGCTTTGTTATTTAACATTGACTACTGTTTGTTCTTACACTATAGGGAATATATATATATAGGAGGCACGGTGGAGCAGTGGTTAGCGGCTTGGATTGAGGAATCGCAGAGCCGAGTTCGAATTCCAGTCGAATCCATTACTTACGTGCTAATACCCTTGGGAAAGGTATGTATCCTCTTCATCTC